GTGAAAGAAAGGGTAATGGAGGAATATATATGATCAAAACATATTACTTGCATATAGAAAAATATCACATTGAAACTCAGGATTTTATAAAATCAATAGTACTAATAAAGATATTTTACAAAAAAGGAGACATCAAAGATATATGGCTCTTGTTTACAAACCTGCTGAATACCATCACTTTTGGCCCTGAATCCCCAACCCCAGCAAGATTTACTGCATGACATAGAACATAAACCTCAGAGGTAGATGTCAGATATTGAATCCCGGCTCTGCTTTCTAGCTCACCTTGGACAATAAACCTCCCAGAGCTGTTTCTACATGGGTAAGATGGAAACTGTATATAAAATGTATCTATCATATTATAAAGTTTAAAGGAGTCACTGTATCTCAAGTGTCAGAAATAGTAGTGCTCAAAAGAGATTTGTAAATATGCATATTAAGGCAACAACACATTGGCATAATAAGCACATCACTGGTGACCTTTACTATCAGCAGCTTTATACTTCAGTGATACATATCTTCCAATGTCTATTTCAAAGTCTGTGTGTCTATGCCCTTTTGTAAAAGCACTTTGACACTCAACATGATACAGAAACCCACATCTCTGTCATATGTTGCTATGGTTTGTCCCCACAAAAACTCATGTTGAGACTTTCGTCCTCAACGTAGCAGTGTTAGGAGGGACCTCAAGGTGTTTGGGTAAGGTGAAAGAGCTACCATTATCTGGAATAAATGTGTTTTCGCTCTTGGGAGGCTATATAAATTACCTCCAGGGAAGGCTATATAAGGTAAAGTTACCCCTCACATTTTGCTTCTTGAACATACTGTTTGCCCTTTTGCGTTTCCACCATGCGTGGAGCAGTATGGGGCCATAACCAGGGGCTAACATCATGTTCTTGGACTTCCAGAGTCATAGGCCAAAATATATGCTATTCCTTTATAAATTACCTAATCTTAGGTATTCTTGTGTAGCAATAAAAAGTGGATTAAAGCACTGCTCATTTAATCTCAGGTACTGTATAGTTCTCAAAAAAAAAACCAAACAAACCAGAAAACAAGAAATAAGGTATTGGTGGAATAATGCAAAAAATTTGATAGAAAAAAGTATTAAGTCCTTGAAAATAAGCCACCAGAGGACAATTTTCATGATAACCAAATGAAGATCCACTAATTAAGTGTACACTGGTTCAACTAATAAAGAAAATAATTAATTTCCTGGAGAGAAACCTACTGCCATCCCATTTATTCAGTGACAGTTGACTTCTAAGATCAATCAAACAAAAAGTAGGTAAATTTTGGTGTACAAATTATACTTAATGTAATACTATTAAATATTTCATTCATTAAAAATCTCTGCACTGAAAAGCTAACTTATTTTGGGCAGATCCTGGTGAGCAGTGGTGTGGACCAGAGCAGCACAGCTGGAGGCAGATCCCAGCCAAGGCCCCGCCCCAACCCTAGCAGCTTGGGCACAAAATTTCCAATGATGAATGTCATTATATTTTATACCTAAAATGTACCAATAAAACTAATTGTAAAAAGGGCCAGGGATTTAGTTCAGAGGTTCTGCTGCCTGCCTCGCAAGCACAAGGTCCCAAGTTCGATTCCCGGTACCAAAAAAATTATTATTATTATTATTATTAAAAAAAAGAAAAAAATCTAACTTATTTTGAATAGAACTACAAGAAAATGCTAAATAATTTTTAAAAGTTTCTACAGGGCCAGGGATTTGGCTCAGTGGTTCCACCGCCTGCCTCGCAAGTGCAAGGTTTGACCCCCAGTACTAAAAAAAAAGAAAAAAGTTTCTACATAGTTTTAATTGGTCTCCTTAATCTTCTACATATTTTATATATCAATTTTCATATTTTAGCTTATAGAGTAGTTGTCAAAGATTTGTCTTTCTTCATTTAATAGAAAACAATATTTAGAAAAAATAATTTTATGAAAGATATACAAATGCAAAATGGATGTAAATAGACAATCAGGAATAACTTCATTTACACTGTATTTTTCAGTATCTTCTCAATGAACAAAATGGAATGATAATATAGTTTCAGTGAGACATACAGATAGCAAACTATGGAAAGCAAAGCATTCTTGGCTTACCATGCCAAACTGCTGCATGTCCATCCCACAGAGTTGCCACTGTTTTCCTTGCACCATCCCATAAATTATGAGAGTAGGCTTCCTTTAATACATTCTTCCTCTTATAAATGTGTAAGAAAATAATGGTACGGTAGAGAAGAAAGATAGTGAAGTAAGGAAGTATTACAAGTATTAGTGGTGTAAAGACCCACAAGAGATAGTTTACAAAATTCAAATAGTCTTCCAATTGCTCCACATCAAACCATTCTTCGAGAATGTGAATCAGACAAGTCATATAGGGCATAGAATCCTGTCCTGCAACACAGGTTTGGTTTTTGTCTATCATTTTTCTTTAGATGAAAAAAATGACAAATTCAGTCTCTTTCTTCATTGCTACAGCA